AAAAAACAAAAAAAAAAAAAAAAAAAAAAAAATTCATCCTGTATTGCAGAGATATGTGAGAGAATATTTTCAGTGAAATATGACTGAAATATGACTGGTGTTGTTTTGAAATAAACTGAGATTGGAAAGAAAGGTATAAGAAAGCAAGCAAGACAGGTCTTGGGATGGCCGCCCGCTTAGGACACTTCTCTGCAGGCTCAGATTAAGTTATCGCCTGACAGCCCAACAGAAAACACCCACCCACCAAATTCAACCCACTGCCCGTTAGACCACAAATGCTGGGCCAGTAGAGGGATCTGCCATGACTTACATCCCATCTAGGACCTTCCCTAGGATGCTAAACTTTTAGCATGCGTCAGTTCTCAAGGCAGATGGATGGACTACAGGGTCAGCTTCCTAGACACAGCTTTTATGGCCTACCGAGCATCTTCAATAATCTCCTCCCTCCTAAGCAAAGAGACCCTCTCAATAATACGCCCAGAGACCTCTCCACTCTAAACTTAGACCCTCCCTCTAAACCCAGAGACTCTCCACTAAGCTCGCCCTCCCGTTTATGATCAGCAACCCCTCCCCTCTAAAGTCTACAGATTTAAAGAACTTCCTTCTCCTGTGGCTTGCTGTTCTTTGTTTTATGTTGCTGTTGGATCTCCACGCTCCAGTTCCTCCAGCTGTTAGCGGCTGGCGTTATTAAGGAATTTGATTGTAGAAACGCGTGTCAGCTCCTGTCTAGAGATAACCAACACCCCAGCCAGGTTCTCCTTCCTTACCTAACTGACGCTGCCTTCATCCTTGAGCTGGCTGGCCACCCAGAACCTATGGAAGCCTGTGGTGGCCCCTCTCCCTCCATGAGGAGTCTCATTCACACCAACCCCAGGTCATCCTGTCGGGGAGATGTTGTCTCACAGCTCATGTTGGCTCTGTCACAGAGTGTTTCCTGGAACAGATCACAGCTTGCCTGTGTCTGAGTTCCTCTGTCACACCCTCACCTGTGGTGTGTGAGACCAGTCAGCCCAAGGGCCTTGTCACTGGCACAGCAGGAAACATTTTGTTGTTGCTTTGCTTCTTCTATGAGGCTAGGGATCAAACCAAGGCTCTCAAAATTGCTAGAGAAGCACACTTCATTGTATCCCCAGGCTGACAGGAGAAGACTGTAAGGGTCCTTACTCCTCCTGGGGGCTGCGGGCCAAAGAGCACAGCCTGCTTTTCCAGAGGCCCCAAGTGAGATGCCAGAATCCACACCAGGCAACTCACAACTACTTGTAACTCCAGCGCCGGAGGATCTGATGCCCTCCTCTGGCCTCCTTGAGCACCTAACACATGTGACACACACACACACAAATAAAAACAAACCTTTTTAAAAAAGAAACAAGAGCCGGGTGGTGGTGGCGCATGCCTCTAATCCCAGCACTCGGGAGGCAGAGGCAGGTGGATCTCTGTGAGTTCAAGGCCAGCCTGGGCTACCAAGTGAGTTCCAGGAAAGGCGCAAAGAAAGCTACACAGAGAAACCCTGTCTCAAAAAACCAAAAATAAATAAATAAATAAAATAAAATAAAAAAAATAAAAAGAAACAAAACTCCTCCCCTCTCCTGAAATTTTCCTCAGAGCTTTTGCTGGCGAAGAAAGACTGGATACTTAACCCTGCTAACACTCCTGGGAAGCCTCGAGATTTGGAGACCAGAAAGCACGTGAGATGGCTGTGGGTCACCTACGCACAGAAAGACAGAGGCAGAGGAAGAATGGACAGAGGTCATGGGGGCAGGACAGTACAGCTTGGTCTCGGAAGTATCAATTGCCCCAAAAAAAGCTTTGTGAAATTTCAGTGTCTTTTGAAACAATGTCCTACAGCCCAGGCCGACCGTAGCTGAGGATGACCTCGAACCTCCCGCCTCCACCTCTTGTGTGTTGGGATAGCTGGTGTATACCACCAGGCCCGGCTTAGATCTTAGTATCTTAAAGGGTGTCCCCAAATTCTGAGGCATTATTTTAACATGAGTGGGTCTTATAAACAGGGCTGTTCGTGTCTCAGCACAGACTGCAAAAGACCGGAAAGAACCTAAAAGTCTGCTCAAAGGAAAAAGCCAAATAAATAATGCTGTTTGAGAATGATGCAGGAGGGATGCCGTTGGGAACTCTGAGCAAGGATGTGGAATGACACTACCTACACTTATTTACTCACTTCGTGGGGTCGTGGAGGTCAGGAGCTGCAGGGGTCAGTTCTCTCCTTCCACCCTGTGGACTCCAGGGACCAAACTCACGTCACCAGGCCCAGCGGCAAGAGCCCTCTCCAACTGGGCCAGAACGAGGTCGTTTGTATAGAAAGTGGGAGGGGCGGCTAGCTGTACTCTGTTACTAATTTGTAGATAAACTACCTCTTGAGAAATCCTCCAAGACTCCGGCGGCAGGAGAGGCTGCAGGGAGGGTCTGAGTGGCACCCCTCACCCACCCCCACCCTCGGAAATGGCCCGGGACCTGGGCATAGGTTGATTTAGGTGTCAAAAACGACTCTGCAGACGTGCTGGAGTCTCTTGACGTGGGGTGACTGTCAAATTACCCAGCAGGCCTTACGTAACGACCAGTATCCTTATAGGAGGGAGGTCAGGGGATCGGGCTCTGAAACAGACTCAACGCAAGAAGAGAACTGATCTGGTGAGACGGATCAGTGGGTGAAGGGCACCTGCTACCAAGCCTGATGACCCCAGTTAGGCCCTCAGGACCCGTATGGTGGATGGAAAAGACTGACTCCCCAAGGTTATCCTCTGACCTCTGCCACACACACGCATAATAAACAAACAAGCAAACAAATAGATAAATAATGTTTTTTTTTTTTTTTTTTTTTTGATTTTTCAAGACAGGGTTTCTCTGTGTAGCTTTGCGCCTTTCCTGGGACTCACTTGGTAGTCCAGGCTGGCCTCGAACTCACAGAGATCCGCCTGGCTCTGCCTCCCGAGTGCTGGGATTAGAGGCGTGCGCCACCACCGCCCAGCTAAATAATGTTTTTTTAAAGAAGCCTGAGCTGCTGCTGCTGGGGCGGGGCAATGCTTGTCGCTGGGCATTAAAGTCAAGGGCCTTCCACATGATGGGCAGGTAACCCCAGAACTCGAACTTTCGGTTTTGAGACTTCTGTCCTCCCTGAACAGTGATAGAACAAGGTGTTGAGTTAAACCTGGGGATCCAGGTTACTGTGGAATTCAGAACGTCAGTGAGTCAGTGAGAGATCTTAGCAGGAAATAATGGGCCCTCCATTTGATCCCTGCTGCTGCTGGGAGGGGCGGCCAGGTACTGTCCTTGTTGTCTTTTTCTCAGGATTTATGATCCCCTAGGTCTGGGCTCCCATCTCCCTGTTCTAGTCCTGACCCTGGGCAAGTCACTCATCTATGTATGTCCTCGTCCCTCCTGGGATTAGTGGCACAGTTGGCAGCCTGAGCATCCTGAGGAGATGAGACAAGATGCAAGAGGGACGTCCCTGGTCCAGAGGGGCCCTGCCTGTGCAAATGTTTGCCCTAAGAAGAATGCACCCTCCTCCCTGAGCAGACCTGTCTTCTACTCAGAGACTAGGGCCTTCTGCTTCAATTTCCCACTGGGACGTGCAGAAGGCGGAGCTCACTGCTGGGTAGCTCAGTGATCCACCGGGCACGCAGTCCAGGGACCAGCAGTGGGGACACCAGTCTGGTATGCTCTCAAGTCAAAAGGCCCAGCTGTTTCAGAAGTTCAAAGACCCTCCCAGTGCCTGTCCTTAAACAGCTGGCGTCACTTCCCTAAGCGTCCCAACAGTCTTAGTTTTAAGCGTTTTTGAGGATGGAGAAACGGAAATGTAGAACCTTCAGTAACTTGCCCAAAGCTAGACAAGACAGCTGGTTGACGACAAGCCTGGGATTTGAACACTAGAACTCATGTTCTCAGCCATAGGTGTCATCGGCTTCCTCTTGTGAAGAAGCACATAAATATCCTTGGCCCCTGGCTTGCCAGGGTCACCCAAGGGGGCCATCCTGACTAGCTCCGTCTTCTTCTGGGCCCACAGAGGAGTCTCATTAGACGTGGGAGTGAGCAACCGAGCCTGGCCCTCGGGCCATGACGGTGCTGTTCCTCAGCGGGACAGAAGTCTCACAGCTTTTGTACCCTGTCAGCATTCCAGTAGACATGTGGCCCAGGTGCAGAAGTCAGTGGACCACTGAGTGAGAGTAGCCACGAAGAAGGAAGTGTGATGCCAGTGCTGTGGGACGGGGGACTGCACGAGGCCTCCAGAGCTGGGGTAGCAAGCCCACTCTGTCCCATTCTGCCCTTGAAGGCCCCACGGAGGCTCTGGACATCCCCTTCCAGCTTTTCCCCACCTCCTTCCCTCCAGGTCCCAAGTCAGAAGCCTGGACAGTGTGGCTGGGGGCACTGACCGCTTCCAGGAGCACCAGGCAAAGCCCAGAGCCCACGCTAGAGTAAGCTTTGATGCCAGGCCCTGGCAGCCAGCTCACCCACAGAACCCTGTGTCTCCCACCCTGCACACAGTGGGCACGCTGCAGAAGGTCCCTGGGGGCACTCACTTCCGTTTGCACGGCCATCTCCCTGTGAGCACCCCTCTTCGGGGAATAAATCAAAGCACTTTGACTCACTGTCACTCACCATCTGAGGACATGCCGCAAGACCCCCCCACCCATCAAAGCTCAGTTTCTCCACACACAGGGGAGCTCCTGAGCTTCCCAGGGTGTAAACAAGGCTACCTGCAGACCGCAAAAAAAAAAAAAAAAACCACGCAGCAGCCCTTAGCACACCACGCTGAAGGGCAGTCCCTACCACCTTGCCCTTCCGCACACATTCTGGAGGCATTCCTGGGTAAATTCTGACGTGGTCCTTGGAGGACAGACACCTCTTCCCAGCTGCCCCCAGACCACACCCAGAACACCTACCATGTTCCAGGTGCTGTGTAAACACCCACGTGTACTAACTGCTTTCTCCTTGGCCCAGCCTCGGGAGAGGGACTCAAGTAGGATTCCTATTTTACAGATGTGGTAACTGAAACCCAGAGAGGAGAAAGTACCACGTGTGAAGTCTCCTAGTTTGTAAATGACTGAACAGAGGTCCTCTCAAAAGTAAGTACCTGCCGGGCGGTGGTGGCGCACGCCTTTAATCCCAGCACTCGGGAGGCAGAGCCAGGCGGATCTCTATGAGTTCGAGGCCAGCCTGGGCTACCAAGTGAGTCCCAGGAAAGGCGCAAAGCTACACAGAGAAACCCTGTCTTGAAACACCCCGCCCCCCCCCAAAAAAAAGTAAGTACCTTAAGTGTCCTGTGGTTGGCTGGTACCTGACCACCCTCCCAGAAGCCCATCTGCATCTCCATATAAACTATCTCCTTTCTAGATGCTACTAGGCAGCTTGGAACAGGCATATATTAGTCTACCACATGAATCATGGTGAGTGGAACCCTTGGATCCCGGGAGGCACAGTGTGAGCTTTGACACAGAGAGCGGCATCAGGAAGACCCTGCCTGGTGTGTTGTGTGTGGGGACACCCCACCACTACCCACGCGGCTCAGTGGTCTCCTCAGAGACCCAGAGCAACTTCCCTGGATGTGGCAGTTAGCTCTACCCTATGTGTCCCACGACTGCTCCCCACAACTCACCGGGTTCACGTAGGGGGGTTGGATGCCACAGGGAGGTTGGGTGTTGAAGAAAGCCATCTCGCCTGCCTCAGAGAAGCACCACTCTCCCTCACAGCTAGCAGACCTCTGCACAGGGCGGGGCTCAGAGAGGAAATAGAAACCTTAGCCACTTGGCACTGACTCAACAGGGAGGAGCCAGGAGTCAGTGAAGGAAGTGTCTGGAAAAAATAAAGGGAATGTCAGAGAGGAGGGCTGAGACTGGGACTCGGGGAGGGCACGGGGTGCTCCTGCTCTGACGCTTCGCCTCCTCCTCCTGTGCTCTGCCAGGAGAACCAGCCACTCGGAGTTTCTGAAGCTTCACAGTGACAAGCATAGCGAGGAGGAGTTCCTCGACAGCCTTGGCCAGAGCATGTGGCTGTTCTTCTGAGTGTGGTTTCATCACCACATCCAGCAAAGCTCAGGCTCCGCTTTCCCTGTGTGTGGGAAGCCGTGGGGAAGTCCTGTTGCATGCAGTCCACTGTGTGTGCAGAGAAAGCGTGCTCAGAAAGTTTGAGGGGCACCAGCGAGGCTGCACGACTCTTTACGGGCCGTCTAAAGTCTCTACGAAGATCCAGGCTTTCCAAGAAGTATTTCTCCGTGTGTGAAAGCCGAACAATGTAGGAAGAAGTATTTTTGCAAGAAAAACACCCCCACCGAGACTGTTAATGTGGAATATGGGGGTGCCCTGGGAACTTCATTTCCAACTGCCTGTGAATTTATCTGTTCTCTTCTCCTCGTCTCTCTCCTCCTTTCCTCAGGTTTGGGGCGAGAAGAGGAAAAGCAGTGAATACAGTAGAATATCCCAAACAACAAGGAAGAAGACCCAAGGGAATATTTGAACTAGTTTTCAAACTAGGCATGATGGCACATCGCACAACCCAGAATGCCTTGCCTCATGCATACCTACCTCCTCCCCTCCTCCCTGCCCCATTCCTTGTCCGACACTGTCATGTAGGCCAGGCTGGCTTTGAACTCATTATGTAGCCAAGGATGACCTTGGACTTTTTTTTTATTTAATTTTATTTTATTTTACAATACCATTCAGTTCTACATAACAGCCACAGATTCCCTTGTTCTCCCCCTTCCTGCCCTCCTCCCCTTCCCCCCAGCCCACCCTCATTCCCACCTCCTCGAGGGCAAGGCCTCCCCCGAGGACTGAGATCAACCTGGTAGACTCAGTCCAAGCAGGTCCAGTCCCCTCCTCCCAGAATGAGCCAAGCGTCCCTGCATAAGTCCCAACCTTGAACTTTTGATCCTCCAAAGTGCCTGGATTATAGGTATGGGTCACCTGCCCCCGATGGTGCTGGGGATCAGACCTAGGGCTTCCTAAATGCTAGGCGACCACTCCACCAACTACGCTACATCACCAGACTTCCCCGCCCAAAACAAAAACAAACAAACAAACAGAAAACCCCTGCCCTTGTGGCTTAGGTTATGAATTAGGGGAAATAACTGGATGGAGCAAAGGACAGAAGGCTAGATTTGTCAGGGGAGGGGAGCCAGGACGACAGACTTACCTGGCGTCATTCGGGTCCCAGCCATCTCACTACTGCTAACTAGCAGGTTGTCTGGAAGCAAGCTTGTGGTGACAGCTGTGCCATTATTCCCAGAGAAGCACGGGCAGTGAACCAATCCCCCTGCCTCCGTGTTGGTAAGTGCACACGCGCCCCCCCTCCCTCCAGCAGGAGCTGATGTGGTTTGGGGACCTGTCCTCTTACATGGATTGGTGTGACTTAGCAGGAGACATGTGGCTGCAGGTTGGATCTCTTGCCTGTATTTCTGCCTTCTGCCTTCTGCCCCCAACCATGGGACGATGCAGTTGGAAGGCCTTCATCAGATGGTATCTTGGTTTGTGCACCGGCAGCCTCCAGGATAGGGAGGAAGAAACACGTTCTTTATGAACTAATTAGCCTGCAACGTTCTGTTACAGTGTCATGAACTGGCCCTCCAGGTGCCAAAGGGGAATCTGGTTATCTGCCAGGCCAGGCATGGCCTGTGATACTCTTTCTTCTTGTGCTCAGCTTAAGACACCAACATTTGCAAAGACTGATTCTGGAACATGCTTCCTTCAAGGCCATGTGTCCCCTCGTATCTTCGACCTAATTATACGTTCCTCACTCAACCGGAACTGACTGGATTTAAAGAGCAGACTAACTATCCTGTTGGAGCAAAGCGAGAGAGAGAGAGAAATTCTTCACAGTCCTCTGGATGTCATGGACATCAAGGACACTTTTGTCATGGTAGGCATCTACTGACAGGTAGGGATTTGGGGCAACTGGAACCCCCGTTCTCTGCAAGTTGGGATGGAAAAGTACAGGACTGCTGCTTTGGACATCTGCTTCTCCTACACCCCAGTCATTCCGAGACTGAACATTTTCCTAAGGGAAAGCCATGGATGGCCATTCAGAACAGCTCCGTGCATCACAGCTCCAAGCACAGGGCACGTGAGAGAGACATCAGGGTATTCATGCGTTTAAAGAGCCCTTAGCTTCCACGGAGGAACTAGGGAATGAGGGATACATCCAAGAGCCAACCCAGACAAGCCTGTGCTGTGGCCGTTCTACGCACGTCAAATTCAACAGGTTTGTCTTGGGGTTACTGCCTGGGAGAGGCAAGGTCTTCTGATGGCATTAAATGCTCCCCATCTTGGTCTGGGAGGTGGTCCCTGCTGACTACACAAAATTCTTCTATCGAACCAGCATCTGCATGTTCCCCTCAATAAACCACAGCTAAAAGGAAAAATGTCCTAGAGCCCTGGAGGACACAGGCCCAGCTGAGCTCAGAAAACCAAGGGGCTTAGGGTGGTGTTTGCTCTGGAGGTGAGTCACAATCAATCAGTTGTCTCACTAATGTGTCAGTCCCCAGAGGAGGGACCCAGGGCCCTCTGCCCCATAGGGAGGGTTCACCAGCAACTCCATAGGCTGATGTATTTTTAGAGTAATCATTGCAGCAGGGAATTCTGCAGAGAATTCTGATTTTTATAACATACAAAAGCTACCTTCTATGAGCTGGTGAGATGGCTCAGTGGTGAGAGCACTTGCCGTGGAGAGCATGATGGCCTGAGTTTTATCCTCAGAAAGAAAGGTGGAAGAGGAGTAGCCGGGCGGTGGCGGTGCACGCCTTTAGTTCCAGCACTCAGGAGGCAGAGGAAAGTGGATTTCTGTGAGTTCGAGGCCAACCTGGTCTACAGAGCGAGATCTAGGACAGTCAGGGCTACATAGAGAAACCCTGTCTTGAAAAAACAAAATAAAAGGAAAGAAAGATGGAAGAGGAGAACACTATTTACAATATGTCATATGCATATGTAAATAACATTTTTCTGGGGTTTTTTTTTTGTGTGTAGTATGTGTGTACATATCTGTGTGTGCTCACACATGTGTGCATGTATGTGGAGCCCAGAGGCTGACAAAAAGTGTTTTCTTCAGTTCCTCCCTCACCTCATTTCACCTCAGTTCAGAGAGCTCATGGAACCTGAAAGCTCACTGATTTGTCTAGATGTCTGGGGATCCCCACCCCACCCGCCTCAGCCACCCCTGTCTCCTCCTCTCCACTTCTGGGTGTATAGGTATGTGCTGGCTTTTTATGTAGGCACTGGGATCCGAACTCAGGTTCTTATGCTTGCACGGTGTCTGAGCCATCTCCCCAGCTGCTCTTCTGATTTAAAAAGTAAACCAAATGAGATTTATTTTATTATTTTATTTATGTGTATATGTGTGGAGGGTGTGTGTGTGTGTGAACATCCGGGTACTCGACAACAGAAGAGGTTGTTGGATCCCCTGGAACTGGAGTTACAGGCGGTTGTGAGCCACCCTACATGGGTGCTGGGAACTGAACTCTAGTCCTCTGAAAGAGCAGCCAGTGCCCTTAACTGCTGAGCCATCTCTCCAGCTCCCACTTTTCTGGTTTTTTTTTTTTTTTTTTTTTTTTTAGAGAGGGACTCTCTGAAAAATCCTAGCTAAAAATCCTGGAACTATCTATCTATGATATAGACCAGGCCAACCTTGAACTTCAGGTATTTTTTTTTTCCACTTCCCCTTGCCAAGTGCTAGAATTACAGGTACGTATGTTGTGGGATATTTGTACATTGTGTGGAAATGTATTTGCTGTGACTGGTATAATAAAAAGCGGAATGGCCACTAGTTAGGCAGGAGGTGTAGGTGGGATTTCCAGGGAGAGAAAGAGGAGGAGGAATCTAGGCGCATGGGAGACGCCAGGAGACACGGGAGAGGAAATAGGAGGTGCAAGATGGAAGAGGGGTAACACTAGGTGATAGAATGCAGATTAATATGAACGGGCTAATTTAAGTTATAAGAGCTAGTTAGGAACAAGCCTAAGCTACGGCCAAGCCTTCATAATTAACAAGAAGTCTCCATGTCGTTATTTGGGGCTGTCAGTGGAAAAGAAAGTTTGTCTACATATGCCTCACCACACCCAGCCTACAAATAGCATTTAAAATTACCAACCAAGCGCCTCTTGGGGCTTTGTTCCCTTGGAAGTGCCTAAGGACCAGAGAATCTACATGTAAGCAATATATGTTTGTGTGTGGTGGTGCCAAGGCTGAGCGCTGAGCCTTGTGCAAGGTAGGTGAGGATGCTAACCCTGAGCTATGTCCCCAGGCCCAGAGAATCTACAAAGTATCACTCTGCAGTTTAGAGCACTTGGGGGCAGCAAAAATTCAGCACTAAAATTTTAGGCTGCAAATTCAGTGTCCAGTACAGCCTTTTGGCCTGGCCTCGTCACCATGGTGCCCTGGGAATGTCATTCAATGCTTCTGTAAAATGACATTCCTCAGGTGCTTCACGACTTTGGGAATATGCACACGCTTGATGGCCTGACAGCCTCATGGGTGTCCCAAAGGGAATATAAAGATGTGACTCTCTTGATTGCATGATTTTCTGGGTCAATCAAGTAGCGAGCCGTTTTCATGGATGTCACCCCAGGTCACTCACACAAAGACAAAGGGCTTTTTGAACAACAAGAAGGCTGTTTCATTATGTTTAAAGCTGTCTGTTTCATAAAGGGGCAGGGGGAAGAACAGATAGTTATATAAAGACAGTGGAATAGAATGAGAGATTTTACGTTATTATTGCTTATCATGGTATTTTTAGGTTTTAAATTTCTCTTTTTACATGTATAATTTACCTTGGATGCATAATAAAATAATTTAAGCATCATGGTAGCAAAAGAATCCCTTCAGTTCAGACACCACCAGTCACCTGTGAATCTGAGTCCTGGGGTCTCCCACCTGGTCTAGACGTAGAAACAGAAGCCTGGAGTGAAGGCATCTCTGTGTCTTCCCTCGACACCTTTGTGACGTTTGTTTCTGTTGGTTTGGACCTACAGTTTTCAAAAAACAGATGCTCATGTAGCCCAGACTGGCCTTGAACTCTCAATGACCGAGGGATAACTGCCTCTTCCTCTGAGTACTCAGGGTTTTGTGTGTTTCAGAGACTCAAAGCCAGGGCTTCGTGCATCGTAAGCAAGCACTCTCAACTGAACGATGACCGGGCTTCTGGATGTAGGCTGGTATTTGCTTTGAGTAATACCTAGGAATAGAATTTCAAGGTCATAAGGTATGAATGAGAAACTACTGAGACAGTTTCTCAATGAGTGAGCAGTACGTGATCTCAACAGCAATGGATGAAAGGACCAACTGTTGCCTGGTCTTCCAATACTGAGTGTGGCCGGTCTCTGCTTTTACCTGTTTTAACAGGCTAAAAATAGAAAGTGCTGGAAATCATACCAGGAGCCTCTTACATGCTAGGTACACTACTTTCACAGTCCAAAGCTTTCAATTTTGATGAAGTCTGTTTTGTACAGAGGGCTGGTACTTTGGGATGCTAAGGCTGTGCCCAACTGTGGACCCTCCTAGATTCTGTTTCTAAAAGCTTTAGAGTTTTAGTGTCTATAGGGAGAGCTAAAACCATTTCTGGGTTTTTGTTTTGTTTTTTATATGTAGCATGAAGTCCACTATATATGTTTTTTTTTTCTTTTTTGTTTTCAAATACTGCTGTTTTTTTTTTAAGGAAAAATTTTCTTGCTAGGTATGATGGCTCTTGTCTATAACCCTAGCACTCTGGAAGCTGAGGCAGGAGAATCACAAGTTAGAGGCCGACCAGGACTACATAGTGAGTCTATGCTACTAATATTATTTTTCCCTTTCCACATTGCTGTGTAGCAGGCTTTTTCTTTTGGGCTACCAACTAGCTCCCAAATCATGACATGGAGATTTATTATTAGTTATGAATGCTTGGCCTTAGTTTATGCTTATCTCACTAGCTCTCATAACTTAAATTATCCTGTTTCTCTTCATCTACGTTTTGCCTCGGGGCTTTTTACCTTTTCCTTCTGTATGTCCTACTTTTCCTGCTTCTTCCGTGTCCAAACTCACGGCTGGCGGCTGCCTGGCTGGATGGCCCTGGGTGTCTCCCTCTCTTTCTCCCTCATTCTCTTCTCTCCTCTTGTTCTCTTCTTTTTTATTTATTCTCTCTGCCCACCAGCCCGACCTGTCCCTCTCCTGTCTCGCTATTGGCTGCCCAGCTTTGTATTAGACCAATCAGGTGCCTGATGCTGGCAAAGTGAAACAATGTAACATATCATTACATAATTAAACACACATCCTTATATCGTTAAACAAATGCAGCGTAAACAAATGTAACACATCTTTACATAGTTAAGTATTGCACAACATCGCTGCCTTGTTGGGCATTGACTGTAGATGTATTCTCCTCACCCATGCCCTGCCCCCATTTCCCATTCTGTTCCACTGATGTGTTTGTCTACCCTGATGTCCTGATTATGCCAGCATCATATTTTAAG